GCACCTTGCCAAAACGTAGCCACCATCAGCCTTGGTGTTCTCCCACAGACAACAAGCTTCTGCTTTTTTGGCTTTTTTTTTGCACAGAAGCACTGACAGCTCACCTCACCCTCGCATTCTGCAGATTGGCGGTTGGAAAGGGCGCATCTTGTGTTTTGTGTACACTGTCATCGTAAGCCCGGCAAGAAAGGGGCTTCTTCTTTTTTTGCTCTTGGCTTGTGAGGCAGCTGGGACGAAGGCCACAATGCTGGTTTCAAAACAAACAGGCTGAAATAAGAGATGAGTTATGCTAATTTGTGACTGAGAAAGGAGGTTGTGCCATCAATTGTTTGGATAAAATACAAGTAACACAGAAGGGAGGCATGTGGGCGGTTGTAGTCTGCCGAAAATAAAATAGTTCATTGATTATTTTACAGAAATGTGTTGTGGACAAATTCAATTCATAATTACATTTCCTTGAGAGGGTAGCCTTTTTATTCCTGGGACTCATTATTCTGTTTGGCTTTTCTTTTTAGAAACATCGCTTCCAGTCATCCCCTCCAGGGAGATTTAACAGCGTTTCCCTGATACCTAACCCCCCTTTCCAAATAATAATTTCACAATTGAAAACTGCAGTGTTCAACTGTGTCTGGTATTGTTCTGTGAGAAAAGAAAGAATCTGGAGGAAAGAGTCAGATATTATTTTATTTGGCTTGGATGTGATGAATAGCTTGGAGAAAATCTTGTTTTGTGGGGTGGCTGGAAGAAGTGATTTAGAAGGTGGATGGTGCACTCAAGCCTTTAAGGAGTGCAACAAGTGTGTGGGTGTTGATGTGACCACACTCTGCCCGGTATCAGGAGATGAGTGATCCTGGAGAGCAACGCTACCCCCTTCGAGTGTGTGTGAGAATGCAGCATTCCACATTCCTTGGGGGTTGTGTACAGAGCCTCTCCTGATTCTACACACCTCGGATCGACCCACCTGCTTGCTCACTTGTACTTGCCACGCTGATCTCAGGAGCTGCAGTTAGCACTCAGAGGCAAGGCCAGATTTGTCCCACTGTAAACCTGGATCGATGCCTTGAAAGATGACGACTTGGCTCCCAATTTGTGGAAGCGTAATTGAAAATCGATGCTATCGAAGTGAAACCGGTACGGAGATGTTTGCAAGATCAGGGGTGATCTTGTCAGGATAATTCCTCAGAATTAGGGCTCTGGGCCAGGGAGGCTTGATCACTTTACATCGGTGTGCAAGCAAGATTGGGATCTCTGCCTGGATCCTACCCTCCCCCCCCCCGCCCAACCGCAGCAGTGATGGGATGTGTCACCACAGCCAGCTGGGGACGTAGCGCCTGTCTCTAAGTTTGTGTCTTGGCGAGTGTTAAACAATGAGAGAGGCACGCTGGCGGCAGCCACGGCCGTTGATACAATAAAGCTTAGCCGTACTGGAGAAGACACAAACTGAATGAAGATCAATATGTCACCCCTCCTCCCCCCGCCCTCGCACACTCTCCTCGCGCAAAGCAAATAGCTTCAGACAAGTGGCTTCTCACCACCTGGGAATGGTAGGACCAAGTTAGAAAACATTAGCTTGAGGAACTGTCCCTTCCAGCTTGGAAATTCCAAATGCCTTTAAAAATCCTTTTAAAACAAGAGAGGGAAGCAAACAGAATGAAACGCAAGTGCATTCAGATTCAGGCCAGCGTACAGGAAGAGATGCAACACCAGGCCAGGTCTGAAAGTTCCCTGATGCCCTGGGGGGAGCAGAGAAATAGCTCTTTTTAAAAAAGACCGAATGGTATTTAAAATACGAGGAGGACATATGCACATCTAGCAGATTTTTTTTTTGTCATGTCAAAGAAAAAAAAAATGCTTCAATGCTTTGCCATGTCTGCTTTCCAATAAAAAATAAAAAATAAAATCTGTATGTAGATGCTGATATTTAGGTCTTGCTGGTGCAGATTACAAAGAGCCCTTCCAGAAGCAAAACAGCGAACAAACAATGAGAGGCTGCTTTTGTGAATACAACAGCCAAGATTAAGGCAGGCCCAAGTGTATCCATGCATAATATGGATTTAGGTTTTTTCCTTGTCTCTCCCTTCCCCTTCACTTAATTCTGTGGTGTGGATTTAAGCTTCCATAAGGTCAGTGTGTATGTGTATGTAACCATCTACCTATTTTAAAATTCTCCCATTTTCTAACCAGCATTAATGTTCTATTTATTATTGTTTCTTGTTTTTTAATACAGTTCTGTGAACCACCCCGATATCTTTTGATGAAGGGCGGTATATAAATTTAATAAATAAAATAAAAATAAAATACAGTTGCACCCTACTTTTCAGGCTATAGATTCAGGCTGTTGGTGGCAGCAGGCCGTGTGTGTGTGTGTGTGTGTGTGTGTGTGTGTGTAGAGCCTAGCTTGACCAGGCTCTGAAGTGGCCTTTGCCTTCACCCCCCACACCCCAATTCTCTCTCCTGTGCATAGATGTCATACTTGAAAAGCTCAAAGGATCATTTAGTGACATGCATGTAAATGCTGTGTCGCCATTAAATTTCTGGGCTCTATGACGTGCAAATGCAAAATTGGGACGATGCTCTTGGCGCATAATGGAATTTTACCTGCCGGTGTGGAGTGAGGATGGAAGCCATCTGTCCCCTTTGCAGAAGCAGAAACTGCATCCTCCATCTCCCCTTCTCCTGTTGATGCTTTTTTTGAGGATAGATTTCATATCATGTTTTTGAAACACTCTATTTTCATAAGAAACGAGAATGGCTAATTCTCTGGGGGGGGGAATACTTCCAAAATTGCCTCCCCCCCTTTTTTTTTGCTCAAACCTGATTCCAAAATGGGTTTTTAATTTCAGGTCACACAGTCATTTGGTGATTTCTGTGAGGTGAGAATGAGGCTGCTGGGGTGTAAACTGTAAGATGAATTTCGAGCGAGAGTGTCATTGTTGCTTCTTTGTGGCAGGCAAATCTAATTACTTAATCCCTGCTCTCTTGAGAACCATCTACATGGATATTAAGGTTTGGCAGCAGTGCAGGAAACAGGGCTGTGGTTGACGTAGGGTTTGCGAAGCTCAGAGTCAGGAGCGCAGTGGGAGAGTCAGGCAGCTTTCTCTGTCGGCCACCCTCTATTGTGTCGTGGGCTGTGATATCGTTAGGGTCGTCTTAAAATTTAATTGTTGCAAGTGCAACCCACCCCAAGTGATGAAAATGCGTTAGAGGACACACTTGCATGGACTGATAAAAATGAAAGACATTAATGCTTTGGCTGCTTTTTTCCAAATGTGCTTCATGCCCAACTCAAACACTATAAACTGGCTGTTGCATTTGTAAGGAGAGCAGAAAGACCCAGGACTGTTTCTTTGCACAGATGCAGACGTCATTTCTAATCTTCTGGCAAACTTATCCTGTTTTTCATACAACAGGAAAACCATATTGCTCTTTCACTTTGCGCCTTGAATTCATTTGCATTTGTTGTGTATGCGTTTTGCTCCCGAGGACGTGGTGTTATAATAACTCTCCTTGATTTGACAAAATCCTTCTGTTGCCCACCTGGCAGGGTGACTCTTGCCCTTTTCACATGACAGCTCTTAAGCTCCCGTTGTGTTAATAATGTCAAATGAGAGGGGGTCGATCTGTTGCAGACACCACAGCAGGTGTTTGAATGGCAGCTGGTGCTTCAGGTGTGGATGGTCAGCAGAGGGCGCTGTGCTTTGAGGACGCTTAACATGTGTCCTGATTTCCACCCTCCTACCTTTACCTGCCAGATTCCCTTTGCAGTTGCTGAATGATGCTTCTTGTTGCTTTTAAGGGGTGTGGTGAACTTCCACCCTCTTTCACCATCTGGAGTCTACTGAGCCAGCAGGATTTCTGGTGCATCCTTGGAGAGACAGGCAGGGAAACCCAAAAGAGCAGAGTGTCCACAGGATACGCTTAAATAGGAATTGCATAATGTCACACTTCTCCATGATATTTTTGCAGTCATCATCGTAATCATCATCATTATCTTGTTGGCAAAAGGTTTTAATGTGCTTCTATGCCACTGGCAACTGCCTTTGTTTTCATGTGTTTCCACTCCCAAAGAAATGTTTTCCCTCTTTTCCTTACTGATAAAAAATAATAATAATATAACTGGTGAGAGAAACTAGGTACAGCTCACATGTTGCACATTTTGCAGATTATTTATTTACTTTTATTTTTTGCTCTTTTAATTTTATAGGGGAAAGGAAAGCAGTAGCTCTTTAGGACCACAGGAATTCCTATCGCCTGGTGTCCAAAATATCTCATTCATCAATCACAGTTCTGACTTCACTCATAAAAACTCAACAGGAGCAGCCAGGCTGGCTTATCTCACCCAAATTGCTTAGGGGGGTGCCTGCACATTTTGCTTCATAACTTTCCTTCTAGTATGGGGAAAGTCTCCCCCCCCCCCCCCGCGAAAGCTCAAGTGTCTAGGCCCACTTGCAGGCATGGGCCATTACAATTGTACCATTTGCACCATTATAAATCTGGCCATGCTTCTTCTGATCTTCCACAGTCATACATTATCCATACTTGCAATCCTGGTTTGGAGGGATCACTATTTAATCCAGGCAGCTGGTGTCAAGAATGTCCAGGTCTGATGGTTCCTCAGCATCACTGGGTTTAGAGATCTGCTGAAGGGTTCTGCTCCTCATGCTCCTTCTCTGAGGAGACCTCAGGCTTCAGGTCTGGACAGGGATAAACTTTGAACAGTCAGGCTATTGAGAGGTTGGCAGCTAGAGATTTGGTCTGAATGGTTTCCAAAGAGTTATCTGCAACCCTGAGATCCAGAAGCCTGTTTTTCTAACATAAAATTAACAATAATGAAAATCAGAATGTGGTTAACCAGTCACCCAACTGAGGGTTTTGGGCTGCTTCTTCACTTCCCACATGAACTTGCCTCTCAGCTGTGGTCATCTGAGGCTTGTTGTGCATCATAGAGTTGGAAGGGACCACAAGCATCATCCAGTCCAACCCCCTGCAATGCAGGAATCTTTTGCTCAATGTGGGGCTTCAAACCCATGGCCCTGAGATTAGGAGTCTCATGCTCTACCAACAGAGCTATCCTTCAAGGGCAGTGGTTGGGGTAGGGCTTTTTGGGTGGCAGTACCAGAATTAAACACTGGGATACGGGTGGCGCTGTGGGTTAAACCACAGGACCTAGGACTTGCCAATCAGAAGGTCAGCGATTCGAATCCCTGTGATGGGGTGAGCTCCCGTTGCTCGGTCCCTGCTCCTGCCAACCTAGCAGTTCGAAAGCATGTCAAAGTGCAAGTAGATAAATAGGTACTGCTCCGGCGGGAAGGTAAACTGTGTTTCCGTGCACTGCTCTGGTTCGCCAGAAGTGGCTTAGTCATGCTGGCCACATGACCCAGAAGCTGTACGCCGGCTCCCTCGGCCAATAAAGCGAGAGGAACGCCGCAACCCCAGAGTCGGCCACGACTGGACCTAAAGGTCAGAGGTCCCTTTACCTTACCAGAATTAAACAACTCCCCCCACCACTGTGCCCCACCCCAGGGTGCTTAGACTGACCCATTCTCTGTTGTCTTTTAGGCAGGGGATGGATACATTTTTGTTCCAGTTTTGTGTGTGTGTGTAAATTTTGTCTTGCTACGGGGCTGATTTTGTTTGGCTCTGGGCTTTCAATGCTCTTTTTAACTGGGTAGCTATCCCATTGTTGTAAGCCATCTCACAGGTTCTTTTTTGAGCTGGAAGTTGCTACAAATATGTTTTATAAATAACACATTTTGGAGCTTCCTGTAGGGTGGGACTTTATTGCCTGCGGGGCTCTCTTCATTCCCAGATCCAGCTGTCATCAACACAACTTTCACAGAGACCAAATGCCTCTTGGGAATAGCAGTGGGCAGCTGCTGCTCAGGGCCGCTTGAGTTCCCTGTTGCTCTGGAAATGAAAGAGGCTGCTTTCCTCCCCTATCCCAGAGTTGCAAAAAAGCTATGGGCTTTGGGGGTCCGTGGGTATCTTTGCAAACTGGAGATAGTGTCATGGGCTGCGCTCTGTAGCCAAGCCACTCCGCTGCAGCACCAGTTATGTGGACTTCTATGGGCTTCTTCTGAGGCTGTTTTCAATGAGGTGGAGGGTGGGGATGCTGCTCTGTGCACCAGGTAAAGCCCCTGTGGCTGAACACTGGGGACCCAATATATGGGTTGGGGTGGGGGGAATTTCAAAGCAACAGGTTTGAGAGAGGGCCAAAGCAGCCTGTTTCGAAAGCACCCAAAATGGAACATGATGCGAAAAGAAATGCCCGATGTAGGCTGTGTGTTTTCCCGCTTAATAAATAGACGGCTGTCATCTTTTGTCTCTTGCAATAAAACAGTAAATAAAATATGGAATAAGCCACGAGCTTAGCTGAGTTAGGGAGGTCTGCTGGGACCTGGCATCAGACTCGCCTGCTACTATTCTGCAGTGAATTTAGAGTACTTGGGAAAGCAGTCGTGGGAGTTATTTTAAATCCCACCACCTGGCCATGCCGGAGGAGCTTCTTGGAGGAAGTGGGCTTATGTAATGTTTCCAGGCACTGCAGTAGGAGGCCCCCCCTTTTTATTACTTCCACTTAAATATAGATATTTATATATTGTCCTTTTGTGCAACCGAACAGAGCTTATTCCCAAATAAATTTGTTGAGCATAAGGGCAGCAGCCACCAGCTCCATTTTATCCCTCTAGTTGCGACGGTGCTATTATTTAAGTGATTTTTTTAAAAATGCAAAACTGCATTTTATGCTCAGAGTATTTCCTCCCCACCATACCCCCGCCTCCGGGTTGGCAAATGGTTTCTTGGTTTTTGTTTTTGCTGTGCCATATCAGGAATATAGAAGCAGCTGTAAATCAATGAATGGCAGTGCGGGGGTGGGGGAAATAGAAAAGGCTTTCTCTGTGCAAGAGGGCTGAATTGCTAACCCCACCCTTATGTGGGATACAGGTATCAACTGGATTGTGCATTTCTCTGAATTTTGCAATGCAATTTTGTTTCCAAAAATAGGGGGAAAATGCATGTTTTATATAGAAGTGTATAAAAAAGAATGGTTTTTTTTGGATGGGGAAATGCATTGAAGAGCATAATGAAATACATCAGTGGAAGTATTCATTCATTTTATTTCATAAAATTTATATGCTGCTTGATTATAGAAAAAACCTCAAAGTATGAGGATAAAATCCATATAAAACAAGCATTTTTAAAAATTTGCAAAAGTGGTAGAGAACAGACCTAAGACCTCAGTCTGTGCAAAACTGCCATGAAACAAAAATAGGCTGATCTGTCCTCCCCGAAGTCTGTCATTCCCCCTTGCACTCAGGAAACATGCCTCCTCCCAGTTTGAAAGATGCTGTGCTGCTTGCTTCTCCACTTGGATGAGGGGAGATTACAAAAGTGTGGCATATCTGCAGGTCTAGAGGTGCATTAACTGTACTTTCCACCCTGCACATGCCTTAATCTTCCATGCCTGCAGCTGTGATTCTGGCCCTAATTCTGCCCCTAGGATGAGCCCAGTGGACAGCTTCAGGGGGAAGATGGTACGTGTGCAACCACAGCAATGCCATTCCATGCTGCTGCTATTTTGTTTTGTGCTGAGGACTCTAGGCGCCACTCAGTCTCTGCTGCCACAAAGGAAGGGTTACAATCCACAGCAAATAGGTGGGGCACTGGGTGTTGGGAAGGGCTTTGCAGAAGTAGTTGTCTTTTTTATGATGGATAAAGGAGGACGTGGCTGCCCCGTGGGAACAGCTGGGTAGGAAGAGGTCTGGAAGCAGATTTGGATGAGAGAAGCAAAATGGGGTCAGGGCAGGAGGGCAGGAGAGAACATGTGAGCACAGGGTTGAGAAGGGGGTGTGGGGGAGACTGGGAGGGAGGGAGGCTGTAATGTAATGAGTTGAATAGGATCCAAAATTCAGCACTCTGATTGGTCCTAGAACAATAGGATCCAAAATGCAACAGTCTGATTGGTCCTAGAACAATAGGATTCAGAATGCAGCAGTCTGATTGGTCCTAGAACAATTCAGCAGTCTGATTGGTTTGGAGGAGCCACCCAATCCAGCTCCAGGTGGAAGTGAATCCACAACCTGATTGGCAAATTCTGGGATTCTCCTGTAGGCCAATCACATGCAGCCCATTGTGTAAATAATGTATATAAAGCAGATATTTTGGGGGAACTTTCATTCCTCCTCACCACTATGAGCTGAATAAAGAGCATGAAAACCACTCTCGACTCTGAGTATATTTCAGAGGCAGACAGGTTCTTCCAGCAACTGTAGAATATTTCAGATGCATTGCATAAAAAAGTCATGACTTTCTGCATCTGAAGCTGATGAAAACACAACAGAGTGTTCTAAATATAGGGGGTGGTGTTGCCCCTCTCTGATTACTGCTTTGAGATGAAAGCTAGGAGATTTTAGCACTTCAGATAAATAAATGAAACCGTTGGCATACCAGGTCTTGGTGACCCATTGCAGGGGATATTTTCAGCCCTGGTTTCTTAGGCTTCTCTTGGGAAGTTGAAAAGTGCAGCTGAGGAACTTGAGCTCACCAGGGAAGCTGGAAAAAGCCCTGTGGCTCAGAGACAAGAGACTGGGGCCCTGAGTCCCAGGCCAGAGTCACCGCTGCTGCAGCTTTGTAGATGCTTTCTGCCATTACTGGAGCCAGCAAGGCAAGCAAGGCCAGGCCTGCAGCTTCAGCATATAATATGAATTGCTGTTACTCTGAGTAAAATCAAAGACAGTCCCCCAGGAAGTCATGTCCCTTGGCAAGAGATTTCCTCTGTAGATGTTCCTGGTAGAATTGCCTCCCCTATCATTTATTCATTCATTCCTCTAGCATTTGCTAGCGAAAGTGGATAGGCCTCGCTCATAATGCTAGAACTCAGTAGGGTCAACCAAGGAAGCTGAAAGTTAGGAGGTTCAGGACAGGTAAAAGAAAGGACTTGTTCAAACAGCTAAACTATGGAGTCGGCCCCCCACAAGCTATCATGATGGCCACCAACTTGGATGATTTCAAAAGAGGATGAGAAGATAGCATTCTCAGAGGCTGCTAGCCACCATTGCTATGTTCAACCTTTACTGTTGGAAGCAGTAATACTGGTTGCTGGGAATCTCAGGTGATGCCAGTTATATTATTGTGCTCAGATCCTGCACATTGGTTGACCACTGGGAGAACAGGATGCAGATCTTGGTGGTGATACAGCTGCTGCAGGGCTCTCCCCCCCCCCCAGTATTCAGGGGTGCCAACTTGAATAAAATGTTGTGGGAGTCCAGGTAAGTCCTGCCCTGCATAATTGTTCATGTGACGCAGTGCAAACACACAATTTGAATGGGAATACCAATCAACTTTGTGGTGGCCCGGCCCCCTCAAATATTTTTTGGCTCCTGGGCGTTGGCTCCTATGCTAGCATCCTACCTGTGAGCTTTGACTTGGCTTTCCCCTGCAGCCTATTTTCTTACTCAATAGCATGCAAGGCATCACTCTCTAGAGGCTTCTGTCCTGGCTCTTGCTGGGCAAAGGACTTGGGTGGAATCTCTCCAGTAGCACATTCACAACTTCATCCCCCTCATTAAAAAAAAAAAAAGTGCAAAAGCCAGGAGATGGAGAGGCCAGGAGGATGAAAAGATCTGGGGCTCAGCTGGCTGTAAGCTGGGTAGCAATAGGAGTAGCACAAGAGTTGGCCATAGCTATCTCGTATTTGCTTTAAAAATTGTCCTAGGTGTGTCTTGTGGAAGGTGCCTGTTCCCAAGTTTCTGAGATGGGGGCACATTCCCACCACTTGCAACACCCCACCCCACCCAGCAATTAGCCACATATCAAGGAGCAGCAATTCTCTGGCAGAAATCTGTGCTTTTATTCAAAGCCTTTTATTTGAGAATTTCTGACCGAGGTCACCCAGTGTGGCCCACATGTCTTTCTGGGGGTTAGCACTCAAGTGAACATGCAAAGCACTTCTCTCTCTCTCTCTCTCTCTCTCTCTCTCTCCCTTTCCAATTGTAGCTTCTTCAAGGTTACTTGTTAAGATGTGTTAAGATTCAAAATAATGGCTCCCTCTTTACACATGTGGGAAGTGATGGGCCAC